AATAACTATTAGATAAATAATTTATTAAGTACTTTTTGCTCAGAAATCGGCCATCGTTATCCTATCGTTATTCTGCCTTGTGTATCCGCCTTCGACAAGGTGCGCTAGACAAGGGTCTGTAACATATATATACTTAGTAGATTTAGTTTGTTAAATTTAAATTTAATATTAATAATAGTCTTATATTAACTATATCTTTAATTATAACTTTTAATTTTTTAAAACCGCGATCCAGCAACGATAGAAATTAAAAAAGGACTTTAGATTAAGTAATCCTCTGCGCGTGATCCGCTAACTGGTTTAGGACTTAACGACGAAGCCCCGGGTGTAACAGTCACTTATCACCTGTATAATAGGAAAGACTTTACTTATACCTCCAATAACTAGCGCAGTTTGATAACTTCTGGACCACAAAAAAAGTGGTACAATGAATATGACAAGAACAAGATCTTGAAAAAGAAAAGAAAGACATGACAAGGGTGGGATTCGAACCCACGCCAAATTAATGACACGGAAACTTCTGATGAAGCTGTGATGGTCAGGTATACCTGAACCGTGCGCCTTAGACCGCTCGGCCACCTTGCCTATATGTTATATTTCGGCGCTAGTAGAAAATTATCACACAGACAAGATCATGTTCAGTCAAAATATGCCGCAAAAGATTTTGAACCCTCTGGGCTCATAGTTAATTTAACAGTCGGAAGATGCAAATGAATGATATAATAGGACGGACTATACCTGACCTAGACCTGCGTATTACAAACCTTTCTAAAAGAACAACACAAGGCTATTTGTATAGAGAACCTTGAACTAAACGTCTTTCCTATAAGAATGTGACCAGGTTATCAGATCAGAAGACATGGCTACTAGTACTAACTCATAGAGAATCCTGCCAGTATTCTACATGCCAGAAGTATAACAACGTAGTTACTCTCGCATTCCTTGCACATTCTCGTCCTACCTCTCTGCGATATCGCCTCCTTCTGAGGCCGCTTCCTTGGGTGACCCCCTGTCTGGATAATCTTGCTTTATCGATTCTTCACCCCTTGTGAGGCTCGATCATCGATCACAATCGATTGTATAGATGATTTGCCGCGTTGGAGTCCTGCCCTTCTTGTCTGCTTGGTCTCCCACAACACAAGCTGTCTTTAGGGAGACTGTCATCGGTGAACCCCCCCGAACGAATATTGAGCGTTGTCTGGCAGAATATTTCTCGTAATCTTTTTGACTGATGTAGATATATCTCCTCGGCTGGTTTTTGGCTGCAATCTGCTCCAGAATTGCACCGGAGAACCAGTCAAACACAGTATTCAGCCGTATTGGCTCTTTCCACCCATCATCTGGCTGCTAGGCGTATAGTGAAAAGTCTCCTTCATTTCTTAGTTTAGCCGTAATCTTCACTGCAATCCTTCCCGCAGGGTCACCATGGCTGGCCTGCTTAGCGTAAAGATGTGGATGACGGGTACCAGGAGGGCTCATTTCCACCTTCAAGATAAGACCGTTACGTTTATCAACATCTTCGCATGAGAACCTGACAGTCAACGTATTTTTTAATGCTCAAATCTGGTAGTGGTTGGCAGGCTTCTGGTAAGCACGACCCTTGAAGAATTTACCTCGTAGAAGAGTATTGCGCTTCTCCTCTTCCAGTTTAGCCAGTTTGTACGAGGGTTCTGGAGCGTGGGGTTGGAAATCCGAATTAGAGAGAGATAACTCCTCGGAATAGGGATCATAGTTCTTGCAATATTGGAACAGCTTCTCAATGTCCTCCGAGCTGATTGCATCTTCAATCTGCTCCGAGTGGGATGGGCCCTCCTGGCCGCCATACATCTCAATCATTCCGTAGTAAGACAGCACTGTGCAGTGACCCCATTCTTCATCCCAAAGACTTTATGTCCAGAACAAAGGAGCATCGAGAGATTGGACTCTAGGCCAAACGCGCTGTGGTGAATATATCCCATGGTGGTCCATGATCCTGGTAGGCAAACAACACAACTGAGTGTTATAAATAAACCTTCGCCACTGAGAAGTCACAATTCACTAGTAGAGAGCGATACGATAAATTTCCTTGGCTCTAATAGAAGGATATGGAGAGAAATCTCCATCAAGCTTATAAAAGGTTGACATATCAAGGGTTGTACAGGCCATCATGTTTGATGCGGGGCACGCGGCGGACAAGGAACTGGAGCTCTGTATGCAAGCTTATCGCACGAGTAGCTCATACAAGGTGGGAAATATGATCAGCGCTTAGTTCCTCTTATTAAAGGACTACCCAGCTCGGGCCTTGACGATCTGCAGCGAGAAAAAGGGAGGGGCAGTGCGGAGAATTGAAGTTCCAAAGTTGCATCTCGGATGCTCGGAAGTGGGAGCCTATCCGACTCTTCTGACGTCTTGTCTATCTGCGGTCCTTTCGGCGATCCAACAAATCGGACCCGCAAGGGACTTCCATGACCAAAACGGACACGCATTCCCAACTCACATTGAATCTAAGAGGTGCGATAAGCCCGTTAAAGGATCAGTATATGTGATTAAGTGGTCGAATCGACTGATGCTACCCTAGGTTCAAGTGACTATATCATTGCATCCTAGCCCCGGTTGATTTTAGTTTTATTCCCTTGATCTGTGATCTTGTTTTATGATAGTACTACAGCCATGCGCTCTACAGTTCCACGGTCGCTGTCCGATGCAGCACGAGCCCGGAAAGGGTGCATCTCTCTTCGCCGGTTTTCCCTGACGGCCGGAAGACATAGGCCGGTGGAGGCAGAGAAGGTACACGACGGTGAACCAAATCACACATCTATAAAACCAAAGACAGGAGATAAAAGTGCGATCCTTCACTCAAAGCTGGGCACCCGACCTCCGACAATAGTTGGCAGTAATGGAAACTATCTCATTGCCGAGGGTGGAAGGGAGATTCTCGACGCCAGTGGTGGTGCGGCAGTGGCATGTATCGGTCACAACAATTCTCGCGTCAATAATGCTATAATGCGTCAGTTGCAAAGCGTCAGCTACATCTACGCTCCCTTCTTCACCAGCAAGGCATCGGAGAAATTGGCGGCGTTGTTATCTGAATCGACACAACATCAACTATCTAAAGCTTTCATTGTCAGCTCTGGTATGACATACTGGATGATCCCAATTCATCGGATCATGTAGCTCATAGTGTCACTAGGTACCGAAGCTATCGAGGCTGCACTGAAAATGGCACGTCAGTATTTCCTCGAACTGCCAAACCCGGAACCTTCCAGGACCCGATTTATCGCCCGTCGCCAAAGCTATCATGGAAACACGCTTGGATCGCTTTCACTGGGAGGACATGCTGGGCGTAGGGCACCTTATGCCCCAATACTAACCACGAATGTTTCCCACGTATCTCCATGTTACTCATACAGAGGAAAACTAGCGGAAGAAACAGACGAAGACTATGTTGCTCGACTGGCACAAGAACTGGAGGATGAATTCCAAGCCGTAGGCCCCAGCACCGTGTGCGCATTTGTCGCAGAAACAGTTTCGGGAACAGTGAGTTTCTATATAAAGACTTTGTTCAATTATCTAACCCATGAATTCACAGACATTGGGCTGCGTCCCCCCAGTGCCGGGATACCTTCAGGCGATGAAGAAGGTCTGCGATCGCCACGGAGCGCTGTTCATACTTGACGAAGTGATGAGCGGTATGGGCCGTTGTGGCACGCTCCACGCGTGGGAACAAGAAGGCGTTGTACCCGACCTCCAGACAGTCGCTAAGGGATTGGGAGGTGGCTACGCCCCTATTGGGGCTTTGCTGGTCAACAAGAGGGTCATTGACGCTCTTGAGCAAGGTACTGGCGGGTTCATACACAGCCAGACATACCAAGGCCACCCAGTTGCATGCGCAGCAGCCTATGAAGTCCAGAAAATCATCAAGGAAGAGAATCTGCTCCAGAATGTCCGGACTTTGGGTGAGTATCTGGGCAGCCGCTTGAGAGAACAGCTTGGCGACCACAAACATGTAGGCGATATCCGTGGTCGCGGCTTTTTCTGGGGTGTAAGTATTGGCCTTCTTAATCCGAGCGATGTGGATGTCCCTGGAGTCACAAAGCAGCCGCTAATATCCTGCGCAGATCGAATTTGTCAAGGACAAAGAGTCGAAAGAGCCTTTCCCGGCCGAGCAGAAAATTGCACCTCTTATCCATAAGACCGGACTGTCGGAGTACTCGGTTTCCTTTATCCCTGGTACCGGAGTTGCTGATGGAAAGAATGGCGATATTATCCAGATTGCACCGCCGTACAATGCTACCAAGGCGGATATCGATTTGATCGTTGAACGGACAGGGTTGGTAGTGAAGCGGGTCCTTGGGTGACTTCGTATCTTTTCTATGAAATTCAAGTCGTAAGCGCATTATTCGAGAGATAATCTAAGTAATTGAAATGTCCAAGGCCGTGTGGCGTTAAGTATTAAGCTACTTACTACGTCGATACAGGTTGTCAGTAAGTAGATTGAAATTTTAAGCAATTAAGCAATCGAAAGAATCTAAGTCGCTCAAGCAGATTGGGGAATTTATGTAATTTAGTACATTTATATGACGAGACTTAATGCGTTGCTATTAGTATTATATCTCAAAATTTTGAGGTCTCCGTCCACTCAGTTTAGTCCGCTGTAGGATGGGCACTGGTAGTCGCCCCGACCCATTATCAATCGTCAATGAATCTGAAGGTGAGACCCTTGACAACCTCTCCACTGTCCACCATATGTATTTCGCACCTTACAACCTCATACTGGTCAGTCTCATAGTACCGGAGCTGTTCCTCCCCCTCCGAACTAACTTCATATGCCCACCCATCAACAATCGCCGAGGAGGGACCATCTACAAGAGCTTTATATTTTCCACCCCACATCTTAATTTTACCTCCTTTAACAGCAGCTTGTCGCAGAACCGGTAATTCCGAGAGAGAGATCTTTTGCGCAAGGGTCTCAGGGTCGATAAGTGTCCCATAAAAGAAGTACCAAACGGGGTACTGGTTCTGAGCAGGAAGGAACATTTGATCCATACATTGCGCTCGATGATGAGGAAGCGTGGGATCAATATCGGAGCCAAGATACGGTGACATGCTGTAGTTGGAGAGGCGTTTATCTGCCAGATTAACTCGAATAAACGTTGGTGAATAGTCAGATAGTGCTGAGAGAATCGCCAGCCTTGTATTGCCGTTTATAAGACAGAAACTGGCTTCGCCGAGCTCTCCTTCTCTGTTTTTAGAGGTGGTGGTTCTAGTAGCCCTGCAATCTCTTGTATTTTTGAGGGACTGACGAGTGGCCCTTCGAGTTTCACGAGATAGGTCGTTGTGTAGTCTCGCTTCCGTGCCTTGAGCTGAGTAGTGGGTCTGTGGGTATTGATCAGTCTGGTCTTGAGAGTGCTGTTCTCATTCTCAGCCCCGAGGGCTAGGTTCTCGAGTTCAGTAAGTAGATCCATTTTAGAATGTAAGATCGCCAAGCTAAAACTTTTGGTGTAAACTCGGTGCTCAGCTATAGGATCAGGAAGAAGTTGGTGTTCAAAAGCAAGCACCAGGAAGAGGTGTCTGACACATTTTCATCCTTGTATGTGCAATAATTACATCGTTGGCCGCTTTATTGTAGGTGAGTCACATATGATGACAGCTTTTGATGTAGTCGCAACTCCAGAACCCAAAGCGCTGGGACACTCACATGACTTTATACCCCTAATATGACAATGCCTGTTAACTGCCTAATGTATTACCCTACAGGCAAAGTCGCGACGAGTCTCTTCAGATCTACGCGACATATGGTGTCTTTCTTTAGGTAATTGAAACTCTGTAAGCGAACCACGGTGTGGAGTCCAGCATCGCAAAGCCCCTCCAGACTAACAGGTGGATACATCACTGTTTGTCCATAGCCGATTTATATCCGACCTGGTGAAAGCTGACTTCACAGATTATTTTAAATGGCTAGACTCGAAGCTGCAGGCTAGATTCGGCCGACATATTCTCCTCGCAAAATGGTCCGACGCTAGGAGAGGTAAAAACCAAGACTTGTTCGAAGGGTGCCGTTTCTCGCTGAATTTTCAACTCTCGGGGAACTCAACGAGTTCCAAAAAAAAGAATAATGCACGATTAGGTAGTGGATGCCAAGCGCAGCGGAACTACTCTGTGTGCTAACCTGTAAAAGGCACGTTTATCTATGTCGGTCCAGTTCGTTTTGGGAATGTCTAACCACATGCGCCATTTGTAATGGAAATTCGATTTGCGGCGAAGAGTTGACACCACCTTTAACATGGATACAGAGGCAAACATAAATGGGCATCGGAAAGCAGGTTATCGTTTCACTCAAAGCAAGGGGCTTGATGGCGAAGCGTGAGCAAAGGAAATGCCAAGAAAGCTTCTGCAGATGCAGAGCTTTCTTTGACCACGTGTAAGCCTCGAAGTAAGGGACATCGATCAGCAAGATCATTTACACATAGGTAAGGGATGTGCGAGTAAACGTGGCAGACTGAAGGTAGTCCGAATCTCGGGATGTTGAACTTCAACAGTTGACGTTCAGAGATAAAGTTGAGGCTTACGTGCCACATTTACCTGTTCCATTGTTACGGTGTAGCGATCGTGCTTACCCGAACCTATCTTGTCGACAATAATCCATATTATTCGGGCGTGAAACGGACATTGCCCGAAAGGATGATAGTCCCCAACAAGAGGCGAGAGGTGTTGTGGAACATGGCCAGAGTAACGACGACTTTGGGTCCATTTCCCCCGCATTGGAATCCTGGGGTTTCCCGATACTACTTTGTGACAACTGACAACTAGCTCATGTATCGTGGTAACCTCCATACATTGAACCCCAGCTCGAATCCGATCCGAACCCCCGCGTTGCGGATGCCGATGGGAGGTTCAGCATCCGCGGCAAGTCGGATGCCATAGGGTCAGCATCCGCACGGCTGCGCACTGGTGGCAACTCTATCTCAGTGCCTTGAGTAAGTTTTAGTCGGGTTCCTTGGCCGCATAGATCCTGCGAGGGATGGGGAGCATGACCCAAGGAAGCCGGAAAACAATATGACAATGAGGTTCCAATCCACCTCGAGCTTATGTCCAAGCTGGATCTTCACTTAAAAACGTCCAATTCCACGAGATCTAGAGCGCAGTGAACAGGCTGGTTGCATGCGCGGAGATTGCACCGACAGGCGCTATTCCTGCTCTGGTTAGACCAGTGGGTCGGTCCGCGATGATATCCGGTCGGAAACCAATCAGATGAAGAACCGCGCTGCGTCAGGAGTTGGTGCGAACCCCGGATGCGGAGGATGGCCTCAACATCTGCAGAGTCAGATACGTCATTTCAACGCCGTGCCATGATCAATCGAGGCCGTCGCTACCAATGCAAGGGGCGTCTTGCATAAAGCCGATACGGGATGGTATTCAATACCAAAAATGCAGTGCCCCCCGGACATCTCCGTGTAACCTTGTCCCGATTTGATCGTGGTAGTTCGATCAAAAGGCGTTTTGTTCGTCTATCCTTTGAATTCCGATCGGTTGGGTTGCAATTGATGTTCAACTCCTCCTTTTCTTTCCCCTGCATCCCCTGTTTAAGCATATCTTGACAGTATGAGGAACCAAGACGATATCACGGATACTGCCGCCGGTAATGAGGCAGACCGCACCAGCACAAACAAGGAAAAGCTCGAGTGGCCGGACTATCCTGCCTCTGAAGCTTCATTTTCCCATGGCAAGATCACGAAGGGGGTGGATGATGTCGAACAGCGGATCATCGAGGCCGGTGAAATAAAATACCACCGGGTGGGATGGGTACAGCTCACGGTCCTATTAGTTGTTGAAGCGATTGCACTGGGTGCCCTGTCACTCCCCTCAGCGTTTGCTACCCTTGGGATGGCCGCCGGTGTGATATGCACGGTTGGAATTGGCTTGCTTGCGGTATACACGGCAGACATTATTGGACAAGTGAAACTAGCCCATCCATCCATACGGCATTATGGGGATGCTGGGACTTTGATAGGAGGACGTTTTGGGTATGAAGTACTCACAGCCATGCTCATTCTGTCGGTCGTTTTTGTAACAGGGTCACACTGCTTAACTGGCACCATTGCCTTCCGTCACATCACCGGAAGCGATATTTGCTCTCTTCTGTTTGGTGGCGTCTCTGCCATCATCCTGCTATTGCTGTCAATTCCCTCGTCCTTTGCCGATATGGCCTGGCTTGGATATGTTGACTTCGCCTCTATCGTTGCAGCAATTGGCATTACTATCATCGCAACAGGAATCCAATCTTCGGATGCACCCGGCGGACTATCAGCAGTGAACTGGTCCGCGGTATCTCAAGGAAATCCAACCTTTGCCGAAGGGTTCATAGCCATCAGCAACATAGTATTTGCCTACTCCTTCGCCACCACCCAGTTTTCTTTCATGGACGAAATGCATACCCCGAAGGACTACAAGAAGTCAATCTGGGCGCTCGGCTTCCTGCAGATAGCGATCTACACCATCACAGGCGCCACCATCTATGCCTTCGTCGGACCGGACGTCGAGTCCCCTGCCCTTCTATCAGCCGGTCCGCTGGTTAGCAAGATTGCATTCGGCGTAGCACTACCCGTCATCTTTATCTCGGGCGCCATCAACACCATCGTCGCGGGTCGCTTAATCCATCAACGGATATATACCAACAGCGTCACCAAATATATCAATACGACCATGGGGTGGATCACATGGCTAACCGTTATCACCGCCATCACAGTAATAGCTTGGGTCATCGCCGAAGCCATCCCTTTCTTCTCAGACTTGCTATCCATCGCCTCAGCGATTTTCACCTCTGGGTTCTCTTTCTACCTGCCTCCAGTCATGTGGTACATGCTTCTTCGCAAGGGAAAATGGTACTCCAGGGAGAACCTACTTCGCAGTATCGTCAACGGATTAATTTTCCTCTTCGGTCTGACTGTCTTGGTCGGTGGTTTATATTCCAGCATCGCGGATATAGTAAGTTACTCCATACTTGTCTAGAATGTGGAGTGTCGTGCGTGTACTAACGTTATTCTCAACAGAGGAGTAACTACAAAGCTGGCAAGGTTCATGGTCCATTTACTTGTGGTCCTGTATAGCACGCTTGGCTGCTTGTTCATGTTCGCCAACTGTATTTGGTTGCCGGTGACGTTGCACAGTATCACGGAAGAAGGCTAGGTGGGATATTGTCGACGAGGCACTATATGATTCGGAACGTATATAGCACTGAGAGGATAATACCATCATCGTGCACTGTTACAATATGACCTACCCTTTAATAGGTGGAAACCTAGGTTAATACTAGTATATATTCTTCCTTTTGTACAAGCTGGGGACTCGAAGGATCGGGCTGCTTGAATGTAAATCACATGCTTGCTCGATCGCCAATGACCTAAACCAACACGTAAAAACTTCTCCGGTAACTATGTTTACATGATATCTTCTCAGGTGTGGGATGCCTGCAGAAAAGAGCGCGGGAGTTGACCAATGCAATGTATATTCTTCCTAACGTTCAACATACTCCATGCCAGGATGATGACCATCGTGATGAAATACACAACGCACACAGAGTTCATAGATTAGTCGCGTAAATAAAAAGGTAGATGTTTGGTGTGACGGTGGCTTTACAGGCACCGTGATCAGTGTGGCGGCAAACTATAGGTGCCCTAGGTCACATGGACAGTGTCCGACTGTATATATTGAGTACTGTACAGCTAACATTTATAACCTGATAGCTTACAAAGACCATCCAAGGCTGTATTTGGCTATGCACATTCTTACTACAGATGATCGTGTATCCTTTCTATCGCAGCATCGCTCACAGGTTGGGATGGGCTAGCTGTATGCACTGGCTGGCTACGAGCAGCTGTGTGGACATATAATGCCAATGTAGCATAGTGTGTCTTATAAAAGATGAACATACGGCGCGTTCTGGAATGATATATACCTATGCTAAGTTTATGGTACACCTGGCATTTCCCTAGCTCTGCAATCTACATGTTATCTCGCAACGGGTCGTGATCACAAAGTGGACACGAGAGCGTGGGATGTCAAATTAGGTCGACATCTTAACATCGATCGATATACTACTGGTAGATCATAACCACGCTATGGCTTCTTATTGGCCCATCCACGAGCGACAGATTACCGCGCTGTTGTCTTTCATAGCCGCTATCAATTTGACAACAGTTTAGTCATGGCTGCAACAGGCGTCTCTCGGTTTAGTGCGATACTAGGATAAATTCTATGTTCATCTTTCCGCCGGTCAACTATCGCCAAGCAAATTTATTCCGCCGGGAAACGTCAATTCCTTTTAAGTTGTTTCACATCCTGACCATCACAACCGACAACATTGCAAATCATCCTTCAGTGTTGAAATGGATATCTCTCTTCAAACCCACAGGTCCTATGTGAATAGGCCTATTTGCAACCTGCCGACACCAGCCTTGGTATTGAGTCGTCCTCTCATAGAGAACAACATCAAACGCCTACACAATGATGTCTCGCAGCTGGGTATCTCCTTTCGACCCCACGTTAAAACGCTCAAGGTCAGTATAAGCATTGCACTTAGCGTACAAGGATATGAAATGACACCTTTTGCACAGAGTATTGAAGTGACGCGGATGATGCTAGAAGGAGGTAAACACCGCAAGATCGTTGCTTCGACAGTGTGCGAAATCGAAGGTGCCTTGCCATTGGTCGCAGAGGGAGTCCTAGACGAGGTGAGAATACTCTATGTACCGAACTGTACCGCTGAATTGGCGAGCTCACTATCTCTAGTGTCTTTACGGGCTGCCCGTCACCGACAGTGTCCTCCCACGTCTTGTGAAGATCAGACAATCAATCAAAATCCAGCTTATGGTCGACAATGAGCAGCAGATAGACCTTTTGGAGCAATTCTCCTTGCAGAATCCAGGACTCGAGAGATGGGATGTATTCGTCAAGGTTGATGTCGGCTCTCACCGCGCTGGTCTTATGAACAATTCCCCGCGTCTACGCCAAGTCATCGAACGCGCAGAGAGCTCATCCGCAGTATCGATCTATGGATTTTATTGTCATGCGGGCCATTCATATGGATGTCGTGATCGTGAGTCGGTGGATGTAGTCCTCCACTCTGAGCTAGAGGGTGCCCTAGCTGCCTCACAGATGGTTCCGTCGGCTGACCCTGATCGCTCTTTTGTTCTATCCATCGGATCAACACCTACTGCTCATGCGATTCAAGCCATCAAAGACAGAATCCCCGAGGGATATATTATAGAACTCCATGCAGGTATTCTCGCCTTACACCTATATGGCCATGACAGCAGTTGACTTATTCTGTTAGGTAATTTTCCCGCACTTGACCTTCAGCAAGTATGCACCGGTCTAGTAAACCGGACAGACCAAGCAGTGCGCGTCCTAGCCGACGTGTGTAGCATCTATCCCGAGCGCAACGAAGCTCTCATCAACGCCGGCGCTATAGCCCTGTCCCGAGAGACCAGTTCCATCCCAGGTTTTGGTCAACTTGTTGAACAACCTGATTGGCAAGTGGTTCGCTTATCTCAAGAGCATGGCATCCTTGGTCTTTCTTCCGATCAGACAGCTATGGCTGGGGGCACACAGAATGTTGAGGATGTGTTTCGAGTAGGACAAAAGGTGTCCGTATATTGTCAACATGCCTGCATCACTGCAGCCGCTTTTCACGTGTATTATGTGGTGGATGAGAATGACATTGTGCGCGATACTTGGATTCCATGGAAGGGCTGGTAATGGTATGAGTGCACATGATTTATATTGATCGGAACATATGTAAACCGTACTTTTGGAAAGATGCTATTATCACCCAATTGAACATGGATTTGGAGTGACCTGATCTTGTGATGGTAGTAAAACATTTACTATAGATGAATGGTGTTCAAAACCACTGTAGTCCGTTATATCGCACGATTGATAGGCGGCGGCAAGCCTGGATATAGTAATATTTGGGGTATACTAACGAATAGAACCCACGTAGGATTTGTATCTCATCCTTACTGACAAACAAGCGATTGGAATATAGTCACTAAACGCGTTAGAGTACAATGGCCCTGGAGCATGCATAACATATAAAGGCCATTGTGAAAACTCCATGAAAATGTAGGATAATAGAATCCAAGATCTACTCGTAAGTACAACGGTTATGACAACACCCGAGGCAAATTTACGCCGCAAAGTGAGATCAGTCTGGAATCCCTGATTGCTACAAACCTCAACGAAGTTATCTCTCATGGTGTCAAAACACAGTGGATGGACAAGGAGGCCTCTCCGTGTTGAAAAAACTCGGCAATGGGATATACTCTAGGCCAAAGGCATTCGATCCGTTCCTTAAGCTGAAGAGCTATCATATTAGGGAGAAATAGGGCGAATGGACAGCCTTGCGCTGGTTTATACACCAATGACTTTAGAGTATGCCCTGTATTGTTCGCTCTTGATCGCATGAAATGTGCCTCGGCACGAAGAATCCACTTTGTGACAAATAGAACCAGCTCGTACTCGTACTGTTCCGTAAGCTGGCACACCATAGCATACGCACAGACCGGTGCCTAGATTTGATTGATAAATGGAAAAGGTGAGATAATATACAACACTGAGAGGGAAAGATTGAGATGTTGCATCTGGGAGCCTCAGAGCGTTGGAGAATGCTACCTTTCATCATAGGCAGCCATGAAATTGAGCCTTAACTATCCTGCCAAGAAAGCCATCGTAGATATCCATGAAGCTATACGGACTCGTATTATTGATCCTTCAATCCCACCTTCCGCCCTTTTTGAGCGCTAGTTAACATAGATTGAGTAAGGGATACCCACATTTCCCAAATGGACGGTCTGGACTAGCCCCCTACCCATCTTATCATTATCACAACCTTGACAACATATATGCCCGTCACATCTCAGCCACCCCCCTACTGAATCGAAGTTTTCCTCGTGGGTAGACCACCATTGTCCAATCCACATTCGTATTCGTATGCACTGCCACGAGGTGTTTAGGGCTGAAGAAAGGGTTGCGTCTCCGATAGGCCGAACGGCTTCCCGTTAAACAGACTTATTTTAAGCTTGGCCCCACCGTTAAGCGTTTGGTGGGGCATACTATTCCACCCTTGGATATGAATGGGTTCTCGTTTGCTGGTTTGTGAGAAAAAACAAGCCGCCGAGATTTCCCAGATCTAATACCGAGGAATAATTCTGGGCAACCCCTTACCCTGGGTGTCTGTCGGCTGAGTACATGTTGCACCTTGCAGCAGTGCCCTCAGATGTACACGCATCGAGTTAACCCCCAGATCAAGCAATGACGCTAGAACAAACACCATTCTAGAAACTAACACTTTGGTGGAGTAAGGCTGATTCCGCCCAACGGGGAAAATCCGAAACGTCCTGGGAAACGGGGTTCACTGCAACCAAATTTCCCTCTTGATATGAAACGGATCCAAGCCACTAAAACATTGGCTTTCTGGACCATGCTCTGACAACTCAGTCACTCAAGGTGAACTAATCCGCAACAGGCATAAAATACGATCAACCGCGCCGCAGATCCCTGTTTGCTGGGCATTCTACCTGATCCAGTAACGTCCGGTCGGAGATCGGAACTGCTCCATGGTTTTACGTGCCAACTTGGTTCTAGGGGTGCTGCGTATGGGAATCACTCTCAGACATGGCGACATGTCGCCGCCAAACTACGGAATCTGTGTTCCGTTCATGATATATCGCACTAACTACCTTTAGTATGTAAAGTGAGTGGAGCCATTGGACCCCTGGTGGAATATGGAGGGTAGACTGGTGCCTCTAGCGGTATGCATAGCGCTATGAGTGTGCTAGGCTGCTATCGATCGGAACGGGAGTGTTACAAAGAAATCCCATCCTGTGGGGTTCTGATCAAAGGAAGGGCGTAGCTCGGTGTCTCTTTCCTCGTTCGAAATGCCGCCGTTCAGGGTTTGGCATCGGGAAGGAAAGTATTTGTCCTGCCACAGTGAACATGCCCTGTGACGGTATTCAGGTCCTACCGCTCGTGGGGTACCGGATGATCTCAACCCTACTTCCACTTGGCACTTTCTATGTAGTTCTAGTGGCCGAGAAAGGTTCTTGGCTGACCATAGGGGTGTGATGATATCCTAACACAAGATTCAATCAATGGCTTTTGTGACTAGAGTGATAGAGCTCAGAAATACTAAGTTTCTAGAACAGTTCAGCGATATCCAAAACTGCCGCAGCATGAGGTTACCGTAGCAAATGTCCCATAACCCCAGTGCAGCCACCTGGAACTAAACTGGAGCCGGCGATAGTGGATCACGTCACGAAGGCCAAGAAGGCATGTCTCAGAGCAGTGGCCTCACAATGGGGGTAGACAACCTGGTATCGACTACGCCTCGTGGCGATGCTGGTGTCTCAGAAGTCTCTGAAGCTGCCCTATACTTTCAATGCCTGCCCTACTATCCCAGAAGCCATATTTATATCAATCGCCAGAATGGCTCAAAGGATGAAACCATTAAAGCACAAGTCTATTGTTAGTTAATCATGTCTCTGCTTGCATTTGCCGTGTCCTTTTTCTACCTGTACATCACCGGCTCGATCTTCTTCGATACGGCACACTACCTCCTCCACCAATGGTCCAAGTCGCAATGGCGGTTCCTGCGATGGCTGTCCTGGTGCCATCAATTCCACCATCTCTACTACAATCGCTCTCTGAAGTTCAACAACCGATACCTGCGACAGAATGCCTGGATCTCATTGCCATTGGAGATGCTCAGCAAGATCCTGGGAAGCGTCATCGGCTGGTTCATTGCCCGCAACCTCATCACAGATAACAACGGAAACCCAGACAGCATGCCGCTGATCGTGGTATCCGCCTTTGAATTCATAAGGACCATGGTAGTCATTGGTATGAGCGGACGAGACTCGAACCACATCGCCTTCGACACGGTGCCCAAAGACCGCAGCTGGCTGTTTGTCGGCCCCGAGTTCCACGCCCTCCACCACGTTTACCCCGACCGGTACATGGGTTCGATGGTTAAGCTCTTCGACTGGGTAGCCGGTACCGCATACTTCGTCCGCAACAAACGGGTCGTCCTAACCGGTGGGTCTGGCGCATTTGGCCGCGCAATCGAGAAGCAACTACAAGTCGAAGGGGTAAAGGACATCCGGAAACTGGGGTTCGGCAAAGACTGGACACACAAAGACTTCTCACGCGTCGGACCTGTTCTCGAAGACGCCGACATCCTCATACTGTCACACGGGACCAAGGGGTTAGACGCCATGGACGCCAATTGCAACTCGACGATACGACTCATCGAGCTGTTCCTGGAACAGAACGCAGGACGCGCGAGGAAGACAGTCCCGGAGATATGGTACGTCGGCAGCGAGATCGAGATCCATCCTGCATGGGGCATCCCCGAGATGCAGAGGTATTCGGCGTCCAAGCGTGCGTTTATGCCCTATGCGCGTGCGCTCTACGATGATCCGCGCGTTCTTTACCGGCATATTGTACCCGCTGCGTTTGAGTCGCAGATGGGAAAGGCCATTGTGTCGCCGGACTGGGCTGCGCGTGTCGCTATGTGGTGGATTCGGCGTGGTGCTTTCTATGTTCCTGTTACTTATACGGGGCTTGCGTATTTGAACTTCTTCAAGTTTCTTTACCTTGTTCGTCCGGATACGAGCAACGGGTTGAAGGAAAAGTCAGGGTGAGAGTAATGGGCTCGAGGTCACGGGTTAATTGTATATAGTTCTTGTTCGTGTTAATATTTCTTGGTTATATCGGAAAGGAGTCTTGGCTTGTATATTATGCTTTGAAGAAGTGAATTCCAGATAAATCGGGATATTGAGTTCTAGGTTTCCGAGATTCAGAACGAGCGAAGTCTCGTGTAGAGCGACGCTACACACGTAATCAAGGTCTTGTTTTCAGAACAGGGGCTCGATTGCCCATGCTCTGTCCGGGTATGCCGATAGATCTAGTTTGATCTTCCTCTTTGGGCCAGATATCATGTACTAGTTCCGTCCCTTGCATTCGATCATCGGATGTTTGTCGATCATCATATATCTTGTTCTTGATAGTCATGATACACCCCCACGGCGACCCTCATGTTGTTAATGCATATCAGATATCACACGGCATTTCTAATGTGGTCAACAGTGATATCTGGATAGCTACGAGATCTATCACCAACGTCCAATATCTCCAATGCATTGATTTATGAGTCCCACACACTGACGGATGCGTGTGGCTGGATTTGACAACATCAGATCTTGCAATGCAGGGAGGTAACCAGAAACTAATCTTTTGAGTTAGCCGTAGCACGATGCACCTTCATATAAGCGATATAGAGAGTGGTGGCTGCATTCTGAATACACTAAGACCAACCTGAACCATGACGTGATCGATGAAGATCGCCATGCTAGCGAGGTGATACATCTAAAGCGCGGATGCCGACTTCCCGAAACGTGACAATGTTCTTGATATGTCTAAACATGCCAAGCTATAATGACCATCTCATGTTTATACCGAGACATTGTGCGAGTACGATGAGAGGTCCTCCTACTGAGTCTCAATAAGCAGTGGACGCGTAGCAGAATGTGACGCTCGCATGTGAGATATACACAACGCACAACAACCACAGTAGAAAGCGTAGATTAAGCTTCAGGGGCACACGCAAGGCCCGGCAGATCATCTCAAAAAGCAAAGAACACTATCGGCAACCTGCAGATGTAATCCGTGTATCGTACGCCGATCAGCCCCTGAGACGAGATCCATGGCCGACCAAGCCCGTCAACCGACACAAGCAGACTAAATTGATGCATTCACTTAGAGCTATAAGAACCCTCACAAAGCCCCAGAAAGACGGTTCATCAAGCAACCATCCTCTTCTGCAACTCTAACCAACGTCAAACCGTCATTTCTCAAAAGCTCTACATTTCCACCTGTTACTCAGTGTCTAAAATATCACACCATGCGTTACTCAGGCATCGTTTCTATTGTGGCCTTCGGGCTGGCCTCTTTCTCTACCGCGGCACCGGTAGACCCGACAGCCCAGGGTACGGGGGTAGCGGGAGATAGTGCAGGTCCGTTAGGGGGGGTTACAGGTGGCCTCCCAGGTGGCCTCCCAGCTGAGCTGGCAGGTCTCCTCCCAGGTGGTGGCAAGTATTCTCTATACCATACTTGCAGTGAGCGAGTCAACGGCTAACACTCACTTTATAAAGGCGAGCAAAAGCCTGGTGCCGCATCGGGTGCAGAAGGCGTGCTAGGTGGTCTAGGAGGTGCTCTCCCAGGTAGCAGTAAGAGTTCTCTATACCCTACTTGCAGTGAGCGAGATGGCAGCTAACACACTTTATAAAGGCGAGCTAAAGCCTGGTACCGCATCGGGTAAACGTGGTGTACTAAGTGCCCTGGGAGGTCTTGTCCCAGGTGGCCTCCCAGGTGGCGGTAAGTGTTTTCTATACCCTACTTGCAGTGAGCGAGACGACAGCTAACACTCGCTTCATAAAGACGAGCAAAACCCTGGTGCTGCATCGGGTGGAGGTGGCGGCGAAGGCTCCTCCAAAAGAGATATTCCTCTGCCCGTCGGCGAAGGCGTGTCCGTGGAGTAGCGGGCCTCGGAAATGGTTGGAAAGAATAGCGAGGGAGACTTGACAGTCGAAAAGAGAGCCCTTGGGGTCTTAAATAGCTGCAGGATTAGGGCAGCGTTGAAGAAAGCTAGGCTGATATATCTGACGCCGGTCTCGACTGAGGGTGTTACGCCACCCCATCCGTGGATAGCATTCTGGTGTAGCGTCGCTTGCTTGGTGTATTGTTTATTATTTTCCCTTCGCTTGGTATACTTCTTGAATCGTGAATACATTTTTAGCTCTACGACTCTGCTTTGTTACTGGCTGGTATATAGCTTGCTTTGGCCTGTGCTAGGGACATCCAAGCATCTACTTTTTATAGATTGTGGCTCTCTCGGCCTGCCTGGGCCACACACCAGAATAATATATCGGGCATCATTGTAATCACAGAAGGCGATGTCCCACTAATAGCTGTATATACCGATACACAGTCCGGTTGAAGTGGGAGTATTAATGGAACCTTTCTTGATGAATACCGACTGACGACGTACTCTGTCAGTAGTTTCTCATTTACGCAGCATGAAGCAGATATATATTCGTGTCCCATGCAATCGTAATGTAAGGAATAAGATTTTTTGAAATAGCGCGACACTATTCATATCCAACCATATTCTGCGGGGATTGGATGTGTTCTCTCTCTTTACGACCTGACAAGGAACCCATAGGCAGCCATGCTGCATTCGCCATATGGTCTTTATCATGCTTCCTGGAAGCACATCCATATTGCAGAATTATTGTGGTCAAGGGTGGTCGTTTCGGTGGTTGGTATACCCCATATTTATCCATCGTTGCCGCGGCACCCACCAGACATCGGTGACTTGTTGGTGTACATAACAACGTCTACTTTAATAAGGCATGAGTTGTGAGGGAGTCACCCATGATGTAGGACTCTTCTGATAACCACATTGTGTTAATGACTATGTAGAATATATATTGTCGGTGTTGCCACCTTGGGACTATAATACAGGAAACACGTACTAATCTCGCACAACGCACGTAAGAACTGATATTCAATCTCAACATCCATTTCCAAAGGTACAGAGGTAACGCTGACTATTGTCTGACTGAAGGTAGATCGTCCTGACGTAGTATAACATTGAACGTGACCAAGCATCACAGCAAGCGCTTTCTCTCGAAACAATACTCAACCAAACGTGCAACTCCCGGTGCCTGTGCAATGTGGCCGCTGGCAAGAAAGTACCTGTCGCAAGGAGGGCTCGAGTAACACATCCCACGATGGCTGGCACTTGGCAGGTTATGTGCGTGTGTCTCCAGGCCTGCCTGTATTATATAGCGGAGACGACGAACTTTTGCGGACAACATCGCCAGGCGATCAAATGTCCCCACCCCCCTACCCAAATAACCATTCCATCAAACGGGGGCAACACCCGACACACAACATGACAAACATCTGGCTGATCCAAGATTTGACCTCAGTTTTGCGCCCGCGGGCAGATATAGGCGTGTGTCTATGTTGAACATAGAGGCATCGTCATGTGGTATAGCAGTTTTGGATGCGCAAAGCATGCTCATAGTTCTCGCCACCGGAGGCACGACTAGTTAAGACGGGCGAGTTAGAACATGATACTCACGATCGTTTCAAAAACAGCGGTATGTAGTCGCTCTCACCAATGGTTTCTCAATCCGAGTGAGCTTCGCTAAGGCGTCGTCACCATCTGGATGGCGCGATGGAATAAGGGTGGCGGCCTCGTGGCGCCTGTTAAGACAGGACTTTGTTTCGATTGGGGCGAGAAAGCGGCCCGTTGGGCAGAGTGCTCATGGTGAGCTCGCCAAGCTCTGTCATTAGAGCGATGCCCTTCGCACACTGGACGATGCCTCAAAATGGTGGTGGCAATTAGGCCACGCAGCTAAGAGCTGCTAGCATTACGAAGGCCAGATCGTGGCATAGTTACTGTAGGAAAGGAGAAGGGAGAGAGATGATGAAGGATAGAAAAGAAGGAAAGGTAGAAAGCAGAAGAAACAAACAAACAAACGACAGGTCATGTGCAGCTTCCATGGAGGTTGCCTGGGGCAGTCAATTCGCTGCCTGAATACCACCATGGCGACATTGATTCTATTAATGATTATAGCATTGAACACCTAAAAGATATGGGATATTATTGAACTTGAAATATTTACATTCATCTATGTGGCCATCTATATATCGATATATCTAGATATCTCTATACTAAATCCAGCTTCAGTCACTTCTAAGTTGTATAGACGTCTTGAAGTAGCCACCCCCAGTGTAACGCAGAGCACTGGTTTCATATTAAACGTTGAATCTTAGACCGAATTGGAGTTATCGGCGCAGGACCAGGCTGCCGAGCCACCGGACTTTTTATAGCTGTCCATGATGGAAACAATCGATCCGTACGTACCCCCGATCATCAGGAAGGTGCCGGACAGAATCACGAAGACGCTCCAGCACACCATAAAAATCCACTTGGGTGACTTGCTGATCTTGCCCTTGCTCCAGTTATCATATAGCCACATGCAGCCCATAGGTTGGAAGGACATCAGAGTGCCCAGGAGGGCACCAACCAGGGACACCAAGTCATTGAATACGGGAATAGCACTGGCAATAATATATGCGATGAGCGCGATACCCGACGTGCAGCTGAGCCAGGTCACCCAGTGGATCATAGTGTTGGCCGTCAGGTGCCTCGAGCCTTGCAAGATGCGGATGAAGATATACTTGGCGGGTAACTGGGAGCAAATTAGTAAATCAAGACTTTCTCAACCCTTTCGCTTCATAGTAGCTCACATGGATGACAAGAAGTGTGGTCATCAGGAGACCTGGTAGCGCAAAGCCATAGCTGATCTTCTTTATGGTCGGACCAGCGGAGCCCAAGGCTGGTGAAGAAACATAGGTTCCACAGTAATAGTATACAACGATGCCAATGGTAATGTAGACCACCGTAACCACGGACTGGCAAATCACAAGGGACCGGGTATAATGGCGGGGTTCGCGCATCTCGGAGACGATGGAGAAGAAGGCCGGGGTACCTGCGTAGGCAAAGACGATCGAGGAGATTGCTGTGATAGCTTGGGAAAAGGTCGGGCTGCCCACGAGCTTGTAGTCAGAGACCCAAACGCCTCCCTGTGGCGCGGCTGATGGGCGATCCTGGAGTCCGACAGCAACCGTGACGATCAGGACTGTTGGTGACGTTAGAAGCAATTAATTTGGAGCACCTGGACAGAATAACTCTTACTCGATGTAATAATGCCGAACAATCCCACCCACGCGATCCAGCTAATGCGACCTAGGGTTTGGATGCTAGCCAGCAGGAAGCCTGCAATGGCGGCTACCGCCACGAAGATGGCCGTGCAAGCGCCGTGGGTGGAGACTGCATTGAGGGAGATGGAGATCCCAAGCATTCCAGAGCCAGCCACAAAAATCCAATCTAATCGATAATTAGAACGGTCCGAGTGCTTCACTCTTTATTTAAAGAGAAAACTCACAAAGGCAGAATGCCCCGCCAAAAAACCCGACCGGGATACCCAAACATGAGTGCCCCAGTATCGTCAATCCCATAGACCTCCCGGTGTGCCAGCTTAAAGACACCCACAATATAGTCGGACCATGTTGTAATCGCGGCAATGGCGCACAGGACGATGACCCCCGGGATCATACCGAGGACATCGAAGGCTAACGGTATCGACAGAACTCCCAGACCGATCTGGGTCTTCATCATGAGAGCTGTGGTTCCCAGCCATCCTACCTAATCAACTGGTTAGTTCACGACGGTATGGCATGGAATGTTGAGGTGCGCAAACATTGCGATAATTCGGACCCTCTTCGGTGATCTCTCCAAAGACGGCATCCTCATCGACACCCTGACCCTTTTCGGTATACTCGATGTGGTAGGGTTCGGAGGCTAAGATCTCGTCTTGCTTTTTCTCAGACATAGCTAAGACTTGTGGCGGCAACTGTGAAAGGGTAAATCAATTTTAGTGTGCAACTGAACACCCGAAAGGTGTTGCGTGAGGACTATTTATATCCCTCGGACCTAGGTGTCCTTTTTGAAGCGCGATGTTGCAACGCCAAGTCTCATACAGCGACACAGATTGCAGGAAAGTTAAATTGCCACTGCTAGAAACCGCGCCTTCGATCGTCCCAGGGGACGCGTGAACTCTCGACCACACGAGAGCGGAACGCCAAAACCCTAAACCCCAAACCCGCCGCTTAAGCTTCCGCAGAGTCTACTGTCTAATCCCAATAAACCCGCCCTGGAAACATAATCAATCAGGCTGTATCCGCAGGTCATGTCATGGAGTGAGGCGGGTGGAGAACTAGGCAGGCATATTAGCTGTATTTAGACTCGTGGAGCCAACAGCATGCGGGGCAAGAGCCTGCAATGATACGACGGGCATGGAGTTCGTGGGCGAGGAATGGTTACCACCCTGGGCTATCTTCTAGATGGCAAGTCAGACTCTCAGGAGAGTGGGCGACAGAGAGATGGCCTGATGTCTCCTGGCCGAGAGGATGGGGCGTTTCCGACTAGGGTAGAGTTAAAAGTCTCAGAGTAGTATCCAGTGGCGAAGATCCCCCAGACAAACCGGACCGGTGCTTGCGGGGAACCCCACGAATAGTACCATACGACGACCCCGGCTGGGCGACCGGAGCCATCATATCTTCCGTAGAAAGAAACACCCTACCCGGTAACAGTTGACCTGCCGAGTCAAATCATTGGAGATGATGGTACGGCCGCAGAAAGCCACATTGCGAGAACTTGCCACAGGACTGTGTACAATGTACGCATTGAGACGAAGACGCCGCAGTCTCAAAAGTCTAGCCCTCGACTGGTTGCTTCCAGAAATTCCCTGGTATGCATCCCTTGCAGGCCCAGAACCTTAACGAGTAACACTTGGGATATCAACCATTGGTCTTAACCATAGATCCAAAATCTCGAGTGCCACTTGGCGATGCTATCAGGGTCTCTTGTATGCATGGCATTCCTCTCCCACCGACTTTTCGTGCAGGTTTAAGTTTTCTTAATGGCACACTAAGTCTACTTTGTATAAGCCTGCCGGTCGGCCGGCTAGGCCTGGCTAACCACCGCCACTGATTATGCAACTCTAATTAACAGATCGGGCTGACTTTTCCACGGGGAATGGCTGGTCTTAGCAGGCAGACACTGGGCAACGACGGGATCGCTCCCGAGAATTGGCATCCCCTAAAACCAATGTGGAAAGACATACGATGCCATACAAGAACCTGCTTACATCATCGTTATGCGCACAAGTCGCCTCCTAGAAAGCGATGCTGTGTACGAAGTAGTGAAACTAACTCCTTTCGAGTAGTTTCAGGACTCTTGTTTCTGCCTTATACGGCTATTAGATTTGAACATCACACGTCTGACGACATATTATCCGAACCATCTGCCTCCACGCCCCTCCTGCGAGCCAAATACCACTGTAACCATTTGCCCCTTTAGTACTAGTAGCTTCACTGCAATAGCTTCGATTTGTTGGGGTAAGGGTCAGGGTCATCTTTATCATACGTCATGTGTCAAACCAGAATAATATCAGACCTCCACAGACATGTAGTGGATCCACTCGTAGCTGCAGCCAAAAGAAATGACGTCGGCCAGCGTCGAGATAGCTCAGGTCGTAGCTACACAATAAAGCAGAGAGTGATTGTTAGGTGGGGCGAGGTTGGAGTAGAATGTTGGGAACACTCCGCAACTTGTGGGTAATTTCAGTTGTGGGGTAGAGACTGGAGAGGTCTGAGGCCCATTCTCCACTTCAATCTCGAGCTCTCTGACATGCGGAGGAATCTATGCCGGTGTGAACAAGTCTCTATATTGTGACCCTTCCACGTAGCCATACCCAAACAGGCATCTCCGGGCCTCCGGCTCCCTGTCGACATTAGTGCGTTTCAGCCTAAATTCGGAATCATTTTAGCTGACATCGATAATATTGTACGTAATATCACACAACGAAATGTAACATGTGTCGACATGGACATTAATGTTTGCAGTCAAAGCACAGATGGTAGGCATGTTTTTAGGTAGAGCCCTCTCTTGTAGTAATTCGTCCGTTCCTTCGCGACAGACTCAACCAATCTTCACCACCACACGCGTGCTCGACAATCAATGGCTGGTCACGAATATATCGCTCAGGTATTGGATTTCAACCCAATCCATGTCAAATTGTTAGGCGAGATGCAGGAAGCAACAAAAAGCGGGGTATCTCTTGATTGTCGTATCCTCTGGTGCACTTGATTGAACCGCCGTGCTTTCAGATACCCAAGATGAAGTCATCTAAGGATAGTGAGGTATATCTCAGCATCCTTCAAGAGTTCGGGACCCCTTCCGAGCAGTGTCGTCGGAAGCGCTGCCGATGAGTTTTAAGGTTGCTCGATCTCAGCCTCTGCTGCGATATTGCATGTTTGCCGTTTGTGGCGTTTTAGAAGGATTTTAGTCCAGCGAGCACTTCGGATTAATGTCCTTTTGCCTCGCACCTGCATTACCCGATCTAGCTTTGAAGGTTTGCCAAGCGGCCTTGGTACACTGACTTCTTCATACTATCATCTAGGTTCCGAATCCTAACGGGTGGTGAACATTCTACTATAATCACGCCAACAGCGACCCATTGATCCATGCCCAAACAGAAGCCACGGTCGCCTTCGGACAAAGCATCAGCAAACACCATTTGGAAGTCTCTATTAGCACGGGTATCAATAATAGTCCACGGTTAGTGTCGGCAATCGTATTAACGGGCGAGGCACTCTCCTCGGGCGTTCACCTCACGTCTATGGACGCCACTATCGCCATTGACTCTTCCGCTAGGACTGACTGGAAATGAAGACAAATTACGGTACCATAGTACGCTATGATGAAAAGGGTAGTCCTACTGTTCTCGTGAAACCTGGGGAAGCGACCTGGACATGTAGAGATACTCAATGTCCCGTGATTCCCGCCCCGTGCTTCAAATTTCGATTCAAACTTACATGACGTACCCATAACGCTGCCGACATTGTGATGAACAACTACTACTGATCAATAGTGCAGGAAAGAATACCTCGATTGAATACCCAACCGTCGCGTGGGGGACTGCTGCATTGATTCGTTATTTGGTGGCGCCAGTCATGACGCACTTACTAGGGGGTCTGTGCTCTATCTTGCGAGAGACAATTGACTGACCGTGTTACGAATATTGAAGCCATAGGGCGATCTTTATTCTAGACATTAATTTTTGTAAGTTTTCTAAGATACAGACCACGTAAAAAAGAATTCCCTAGGTGAAAGTCGACATCGTGCAGTTCGTCCCCCAAGTAGGCGGGTCGGACCTAGGCGGCTGCACGATGGAGACCAGCATGCTCAGCACGGCGAACTCGAGCTTCAGCTTTATGCTGTAGATGGTCGCCTTGAGAATGATCTGCGTGAAATAGAATCCCAGGTACTCGAGGATCACGAGAGCGATATCCATGACAATGGCCATGATGTTGATAATGACGAGCTCGTACAGAATCTTGTGTCGTCGCTTATCTTCGTCGGGACTCAGTCGAATCATGCACATGGTGTACCAGATATATATCACGGAAATGCAGGTCTCCTGCACGGCAAACCAAGTTACCTGGATGCGTTCCATTGCCTCGAACCCGTCCACCCATCCAACCGACTGCGGCACGTAGCTCGAGCCCACGTTCAACACAGTCGTTGGCACGGCGATCGTGAAGAAACTCCATATTATCAACCAGCGGACGAAGGCAAGCACCAGTTTATTCTGTGACACCAAATGTAATCGCGAGTAAAGCACCACGGACTGGTTGGGGACCATCATCCAAAACCCCACATTCGACAACAGCATGCTGAGCCATAACGGTATGAGATCGAAGAACTGCAAGGCCGGTCCGATGGTCGAGGGGATCACACCGAGTACGGCGGATGTCATCAACGCCCAGAAATATAAAGTGTTGTACCGGTGGAAGCTCAGCGGGATAATGACGGTCAGCTCGAGGGCATTGTAGAGGGCGATGGAAATAAATACGACAAAGCTGATTCCTAGAGCGCCGTGGCCGGGCCCCGAGCCAAAGATCGTGCTCGGCTCCGTATGGGACATGCTGCGATGGGGATAGACGGGGTGACAGACAGCCCGGAAGGCATTGTGGGTGTCGAACGCGTCCAAGGCGTCTCATCAGGGCAGGGGAGAACAGGGATCCAATGGCAGGATATATAACAGTATCAATCGTGGTTCCAGCCGCTTGAGCCAAGTAAACCTTCCTGGGGAAATCGTCACGAGGCCATTTCCCCAGAAAACCTAGATTTCTTACGCCACTCATCTGTAGCCAATAAAGAATGCCTCTCAGACGCTGTGCCAATATTCTGGATTCCTCAACTGCTAGATAAGGTTATCAACGAGCTTCGAAGGGGAACATTACTCGACGAAACTCTCAACGCTGTGGTCCGGAGAGTGTCACTCCACCTGCGCCGGCGATCCAGAAGGACGGCAACATCGAATAACTCAGTGAACAATGTTGCGAGGATATGTAATTTCCGACGACAGATAGCCCAGCTGCCCCTTATTAACTAGGAAGCTGCTTCAGTGACTTGATTACCGCACTGGCTTTTTGTATGGACAACAACTCCACGAAAACAGCGCAGTCGATGAGAGAGTCTTTGGCGACGAGTAGCATCAATGCTAGGAACCCACATCCTAAATTCTTCATGATCAAACCTTGCTACCCTATTCAAAGAGAATAATAGAAATTCTTGTTATATCTGACTAGAAGAAAACAAACAATTGCGATTATCGGCTTGTTAGTCTATCAACATATAATCGTACTCTCTACTCCACCCGGGAAAGCATACTAGAACCCTAATTGCTTATTTCTCAGATCCTCCGTGTTATTTTGTGCCATGAAATGCTATTAAAGTCTGTCTAGATGCAACAATTTCTCGACTAAGATCTAGCCGAATTATGTCTAGTCGATATCCCGATCATCCTTCTGAATTTGTGACAGGAATGCCTTACATATTTGAGAGGACTTGATCGAAGAGTGAACTTCTGCTCTGTATGGCTCACTTATATAAAGCCAGCCGCTGCCACAGTATCCATTGCGTATCGAACTGCCCTGACAAAGGGTTTGGCTGAAACTTGAGGTGGTCCTGATATTCTTTATATTCTAGAGTATCCCGTATTTTATTAATGAACAATAAACAATCAATTCCATAGGACAATAGTTACAGTAATTTCACTGGTTACCCAAGGAGCAATCTGGGAATTCATTATGCGATCTACCATGGATAGAACATTGTTAGGCAACAGATAACACATCGCGTTGGCGACAAAGAGAAAGAAAAATGAACAGGGAAGAAATCATGCAATCTTTATGGCCTTTTTACCCAGACTGATAAACCCACTAAGATACAAATTGTGTAGAGCCATACCCATTGCAAGCAGGTCTAGATACGAATAAGACATTCTGGCCCAGGCCAAAATAGATACCTCGTGTATTTTCTTGGAATTGGGTAACAGACAATTCGAGGAACCTTGTATACGTTGAATGCCTTTCTATAGACTTTGGTAACCGAAGAATGCTACACTGTGGTTTTGGTCTTCTTGTTTAAGCAATCTATATATAGGCCGGCTAGTGGATCATCCTGATAGTGTACCTCTCAGTGGAGAGTCGCATCTCCTATCCGTGCAGGTTCCACATGTTCATAGGCTTACCTGATATCTTGCTCTCTTAGTATTCCTGGAATAGTGGCTCCCTAACGTTACCGACGAACAGTCAAGGAGCGCAAGATGCCGTTGCTCCTATCATTCGAATCTGAATTACAATCCAAGATCGCTACATAGAATATGGGCAGATCTACTACAGCGGGCAGGTATAGTTAGCAGTCGATCTCCAGCCTCCCAGAGTTTGACATTGGGTCTATGCCAGGTGCTACGTTACATCTAGAATAGGTGCTCAAGCAGTCGATTCACATTGCCTATTTCAGACCTGTCACTAGTAGATATCCAGTGAGCAGTAGTCTTGTTTCGGAACTATCTCAATGCTACTTACCAAATACAGATGAGTTTAGAGTCGAGGCATGCACCCCTATTATGAAACTCAGCCCTAAGAAATGATCTAGACCCCAACGGCAATCCTTCGTCCGGTATGGTATAAAATCCACGAGGCCTCCGGGGCGAATCCGCTGAGAGACTATGACTGATTTGGCAATTTTGACAAAGCAGTTCCGTGGCATTAGCATGTCCTAGACAATCCTTTATATTGCCCCACGTATAACGACTTTTAGTAATGGGGGACTCGAAAAACCCGACAAAGCTCAAAGAAGCTCTGTCTTTATTGTATGTATATACATACATACTTTCTATTCCAACTCACCCGTGATTTATGAAGTTGGGAACGAGTAGAGCTGGATCTTATCGGGACAGCTCTACTAGAAACAGGAAGCCAGAACCTACGTTTCCTTTACTGGTCGAACATTGAGTTGCATGATGGGAAACTTTTTGAGGTTCTTATGACAAAAATAGGGGTCTCAACCATTGGGCCGATGTGCGCCAAGCTTCCCTCCGCATATAGTTAAATTGAGCTGCATCGTGACTCCGAACATATGACAACGTTTTACTGCTCGAGAAATCTGCATGCAATATTGTTCTCTGTGGCGCCTTTTTAAGCACGTCACAGTCTCCTGTGCCCTCCGAAGGAGTTAATATCTGGATTCATCTCGCGAGAATATGGCGTGGGTGCTGTGCAACTGCGCCCCATGAAGGGCGTTACCTGTCAAGGTATGGTGGAAAGATGAGTCAGGAAAGAGGATGAGCCAGACCCACACTGAAGAAGATCGTGCCCGGGGGCCAAAAAGAAAGGGGCAGCCCATCCTCCTTGGGAATCGTTTGATCCTGGCCTCTGAGGGTTTCTGCTAATGCAGGAAAACTCGTATTAGAACCAACACGAGTCTCTTCCAAATAGGAGAATATTCGCCTGGGCCAGAAGTGACTGGCTCCAAAAGCAAAATCAAATTTACGTTCTGACCACTTGTCAAACAACATGCTTGGTCTTCGTATTTCACGAGAAAAATCTCAAAAGGGAAGAGATCAGCCCCAGAGAGGACTGTGTAAAATGGATACTTCGTACAGCCTCAGCCAAGCCGTTCAAGTCCCAAGTCTAATCACCCGCACCCACAAGGCACGCCTTGCTTGAGCCTCGTAAAATTCCGCGCCCATCTCTGACAGTTCACTTCTGGTGCCTATCAGTGGAGTCCACCATCCCCTCTGAATGGTCCACATGCGAGGCTGCGTTCGTGATAGGAAATTACCCTGCGCCCGAACCATGTCCGATTGGGCTTCTGGAAATAGTATCGATCTGGAGGGATTGCGGCTTTGACCATGTGAGATTGAAGGGTTGCAGGATCGTGGTGGGAATGGACTTCGATATAAGTACACAAGTTGTCCGCTAGGTCTTGCAAATTGTTCTCGTTCTCTCCTATACTGCCTCGTTACACCCAAAGTGCCTAGAGAACCTAACCGTTGTTACTGTCATTATTAACCATGGAGAAAGTACCACCCAGTATGTTTGATATTTCTACCCCCGGTGTCAACTTTATACTAACGCAGGTCATGACAGCTCCCGTCCCGGTCTACGACCAACACACCGAATTTTACCCTCCCCAGCCAACCGCTCCTCAAAATGTACACGTCCAGTCTCCAGTACACGATCCCAACGTGATGGTGGCACCGCAGCCATATTACCATCCTCCCGCCGGTCACCCAAGTGGATACAACTCTGCAACTCCGTTGCATGCTTTACAGCGCGGCCCTACCCCGGTGGATTGCCCAGTCTGCGGAGTCCGCGAGATGACCAGAACCGAGGCAGAGTCAGGAAACACAACACAGTACGTATAATGGTTTCAAGAGCCTGGCAGTAGGGTGAAAGCTAACGAGGAATAGTGGTTGGGCTGCCCTTATTTGCTGCTGCTTCTGTCTGGGATGCATCCCATACCTGATGTCCTCTCTGAAAGACTACAACCATTACTGCGGCCAGTGTGGCACGATGTTGGCTACATGGCATAACAGTGGAAGAGTGGAGGTGCATCAGAACACCAGACAATGAGGTTGGCTTGGCTTGTGTTTTTGTTTTGATTTCGTATCTGCGGTCGGCGTTCGAGGGATGTATTTCGCGGTTGATACCATATTTATATCAGGAAGAGAGCATATGCTATGCGAATAATAATATTAAGAATGATCACAGCACTAATATGATCCACTGTCAGTCACAAGACATTCCGAGGATTCATTTGTAGTTCTTTTTCCATGTATCTTTCATGAAAAGTAGCGATCGGAAAAGATCACCAAGCCAAGGCTTTATTTATCTTATCAGTGGTCACGATAAGATTTGACGCCATTTCCCCATATCATGGCGAGCCTTTCCACACAGAATCACCTCCTTGACTGCATGCGAATGTACGTCTCGTACTATTGACGCAAGCCCAATGCCTCCAGATAGAGGTCGCGCTTCTCGGGCGTGCGTTTCCTGCCGGAAACAGAAGACCAGATGCTACGAATCAGGCACTGGCGGGCGACCGTGTCTGCGATGCGAACGCCTTCAGCAGAGATGTTCATTTGAGCATCAGCCAGCTCCTTCACGGGAGAATACTGCTTCCCATACTACTAGTGTAGACGCAAGGTAGCTTCATCGCCGAGGGTTTTGGAGACGGTGTCATTAATATCATGCAGAATAGAGCAACTCGAAAGAACAGTTGGGGCGCTATTAGAGCGCTTGGGAGAAGACTCGTCTAGTATCATGACCCCGGCCATCGAGCGCTCTAATAACCCGAGAGATATATTACACGAGAGTACAGCGAATCCAGCAACCAAGTCAGATTATCCCTCGGCTCCACCTGTCATGGTCATCCGTGATCTAGCCTCGGATGTCGGGGTAAGATCACCAGACGCCAGCTCACACGAATCAGTACTAGATGGCCTTATATCGGCCGATCTATCACTCAATCTCATCACTATGTACGCTACAGGGACCCCATATGCTGCGGTAAATCTGACAGACAAAGCTTCCTAGAGCATTACGGTCGATGGGTTCTCTTCGATCCAGAAACCAATCCCAAGATCTTACTTGGTAGGGTTAATCGATCACCACTGCTATTCTCCGCTTGCTGTCTGATCGCTGTCCGACATACAACGGAAAGCCTGGCGACTACTCTCGCCCCGAAGCTCTATCAGAGTGCTCGATCGTTGGTCTCAACCGCATTGCTTGTCTCCCCGCAGCCGATAGAGTTCTTCCAAGCTGCCATCGTCCTTTCATTATGGTCCACCACGGTGGGCCAAGTCCCGCTGAGCATCGACAGTTGGCTGCTAAGCGGATTCGCCTTGCAGCATTGCCAATCCAGCCCTTTGTTCGACGCAGTAAACACAGCTAACGCGCACACGGAACTCACGAAAACAACCCTTGATAACTGGTGTATCTGGAACCATCTGTGTCTCGCCCATCTGCAGTATTGCGTCGGCACAAGTAGGAAATCCATGCTGCAAGCCTCCCAGATACCGAAATGCCGAGCGATAGTAGGCTCCGACCATGCCACGAATTACGAACTGCGCATGGTAGCTGAGATACATCTCTACTGGACACTGTACGAGCACACATCGAGCGAATCAATAGACCTGTTGAAATCCATGGCTAGTTTACAGGACTGGAAAAAAGAGTGGCAATTCATGCTCGGTACGAATTCATCCCCGAAATCAATATCTGACATACACTGACCAGGGCAGAGCAACCCCGCGCCCAATTCCTGCTGATGGGCTTCCATTTCGCTCATCTTCTCTTGTACGATCAATGTCTGAAAAGTAAAACTGCGCGAGCCCGCGAATCGGTCATTTCTGAAATGATCCGCCATTCAACGGCCATTATTCGCCTTGCCATCGACACCGCGGATGACCGTACGCGCCATCTAACAGACCACATCTACCACATGATCACGTTCGCTGCCATTATCATCTGCCGGCTACTGAGCGCATACGAGGACCAACTAATACAGATATACAACCTAGACGAACTGGACTCATTGATACTTAGCCTCGTAACCTGGATGCAGACAATCGGTCTCCCTTGCCACGCAGCGCATACACTCGGCCACGTCATTGGGAAGGTCCATCAGAAACTGCGGCCAGCGGTGGTTCCCCAACCACTGGCTACAGAACAAAGTGAAGTGTTTTACGGACAGGACTTGGCAGGCTATTTCCCCGAGTTCTTAGGCGTTGAGACAACAGAAGACGGAAACTGGGATTTACTGCCTAGTTGGGGATTCTCAAGCCCTCCATAGTCTGTACCATTCAGTACAGGCGAACCAAATATACCATTCATACTATATATATGTACTGTCCTAAATAACCCGTGAACGCCTAGTCAATAAAGTAGCTCACATCCCACAAACCCGTCTCTCAGCCCATCTCAGCACCAAAAACACTATCCCCGAGAATGCCCCCGTCAACTCATGGCCCACGTTCGCCCCGGACCCAATCAACCCAGCAATGGGCCCGACATACCACGCCACCTTCATCCCAAGTGCAGCGCCCACGAACCCAGCCCCAAAGGCCCCAATAGCCGACCACCCGAAATGCATCTTCGCAGGATCGTCCCAGGCGTCCAGGTCGTAGCCCTGCCACCCGCGACGAAAGACAAGGTGTTCCTCTGCGACGATGACGATGTGGATGACGGTCCAATAGCCGATGACGCTTAAGAAGGTCTGTAAGGTGTCCTTGAAAAACTGGGCGGCACAACAGCCCACCACCAGGGAGACGATGAAACCGAACGTGACGAGGGCGATGCGAGGGATGCGGAGGGCCCAGGGACCGAAGTTCTGCGCGTGCAGGGCGAAGGAATAGTTGTTTGGGATATTGTTCTGGTGGGTTCAGTTTGAGTCAGCTTATTATTTCTGGACGTTGTAGTAGTTGTGGCTGGGAGATATGAGCAATATACCGGGATCGAACTCAACGCTGCAAGAACCATAAGGAACTTTCCAAATCCACCAGCTGGCTCGAGGGCCATCTTCAAGAGTCCGCCTACGCCTGCACTTGCGTATGCGGCTTTCCATTCCGGGTTATGTACAGTGCCGCTGAATAACGCGGCGCCCAGAGTTTGGACCAGCACCGAGGGAATGAAGATACCGATGTATGTAGCGCCGAATATCCTCGCCCGGGATGTGTTTATCGGCATACGGACGTTGTAGTCGGCGGCACAGTTGACCCATGAGACAGAGAAGGAGAAAATAATGGCCATGAAAGATAATATGGCAGCGGCTCTGTCCTGGCTGCTCTTGAATTCCTTGGGCTCGGCGCTGCTGAAATGCGATGCGCCTGTGCCGGCCGTTACGCACCAGACTATCAGCGGTGGGATCCAGATGAATGTGTCGATTTTGTGGATCCAGTTGATTCCTAGGACACAGACTATCCAGACTACTGTGCAGATGATGATTACCCCGGCCCAGGTGGGACAGCGTCCGTCGGAGAGGGCGTTGAGAACAGCGGCACCAGAGATGGAGTTGATTGCGTTCCAGCCTGTGGTGGCGACCATGGAGAAGACCACTACAAGGAGATTGCCCCAATAGCCAAACGAATATCGCCTAGTTTGTGTTAGCCATCTTCCAACGTGCAGGTGGATTGGCCATACGAGAAGGTCGTCATGCGAAGCCCCGTTAGTCCGAACGCCGCAGTCCATGCTGGGAGCAGGTCGCTGACGAGGTTAACGACGAGGATGACGATGAAGCTATCCCAGAACTTAAGACCCATAGGTCCTCCAAGGGCCCCAGTGGTAAGCGTGGCCACGGCCATGTTCGCACTCAGCCTGATTCTGTCAGTAAGAGTCGGGGTTGCTGGCTGGGTAGTGAAACCATACCAGAAAGTGCAGGCGTTCCAGAAATGGGTTACATTTTCCTCTCGTTGATCTGGTGTAACGCGCTCAATACCACCTCGCTCAATAGAAAGGGCTTGTATCCATGTTGAGTTGGTCTTCTCGTCGGCATCTATACTCGCCGACGACTTGTAATGTGTATCTGAGATTTGGTCCATGTTGATCAGCACCGAACAACCGCAACATTGTTTTGCACAAAATACTCACCTCCCAGCTAATTCATCCCCCAGTTATATCTAGAATCACGCATATCACTCATATCACCAGACACCGCGGCATCCCGATAACACGATAATAGCCAAATTGACGCCATATCAGTTACGTAGCTCGAGGCTATCTTACCGCGGCATACCGCGGCATGCCGGTCGACCAGTCAAGATCCACAAAAGGTTTGCTATATATACCCTAAAATCCCAAATGAAGCACACAGAATACCGAGAACAACAATTATTGCCTTCCCATACCGAATATTAGTTAAACAAAAATGGAACAACACACCCTCCGCCGCCGCGGGTTGGGCCTGCGCGGCACCGACCCCAAAGTCTCCCCAGGCTACATCCTCTACACACCCCTAACATCCCGCACTGCGCACCTCATCTCGACAACCGGAGAAGAAGTCCACAAATGGACGCTTCCCTACCGCGCAGGCCGGCACGCCAGACTCCTCCCGGACGGTAACCTCGCCTACAACGGCGCGCATCCCGACGCCCCAAACCTCTTCCCCATGTGGGCCAAATATCGCGGCGGCGCAATGATCCAAGTATCACCGTCCGGTGAAATCCTGCGGGAATACCGTGATCCAAAAGCCCATCATGATCAACACCATCTGCCAGATGGGAAGCTCCTCTACACTACCTTGGAAGCGTTGACGCCTGAAGAGGCGGCGAGAGTACAGGGAGGGATTACAGGCAGTGAAGCGCCCGGTGGAATTGTCTACGGCGATTGCATCAAGCTGGTGGAGCCGTGGTCGAGCTCGAATCGATCCTCCTCGGAGGACTTCGAGGGCGATGGAAAAGGAGGCGCAAAGCTGCTTTGGTCTTGGCGCGCGATCGATCATCTTGACTCCGAGCTGTTCCGCATGCATCAGGACTATCCGCGCGAGCATTGGCCGTTGATCAATAGTGTTTCATTTGACTCGGATGGGAATATCATTGCCTCAATGCGCAACACGTCTTCGGTGGTTGTTATCAGCCGTGAGACTGGTGAAGTGCTTTGGCATCTGACCCAGCCGGTGGTGAACCAGCAACACTGTGCGCATGAGCTTCCGTCCGGTGACCTCTTGATTTTCGATAATGGCGTCTTTCGACCGGGGATCTCGGTGCCGTTTACTCGGGCAATTGTGGTGGCCCGGAAGACGAAGGAGATCGTTTGGGAATACAAGGATCCGAGTACAGGCGGTATTGGGCTGTTCACGCCGTTTATGGGTTCTGCACAGAAACTGCCGAATGGGAATGTGGTGCTCTGTGAGGCGGCGACTGGTAGAATCCTGGAGGTTACTGAGGCTGGAGAGTTGGTGTGGGAGTTTGTGGTGCCGCAGTTGAGTGATTACACCTCTGTTCTTGGAGAGCGTGAGCTGGAGGAGATGAGCAAGATGGGTTTCGCGTATGAGAGCAATGCTATATTTAGAGCGTACAAGTATCTACCCGAGGAGGTGCCGTGGCTGAAGGGGGAATGAGACGGCGACCTTTCATTATGAAGAGATTCCCTGCAAACACAGATAGAAATGTCATCTCATGGTTGAACGCAAAATTCAAATTGGTATCATATAGCGAAGTTATGGATTATCTAACAAAGACGGTGCATATAGCTGAGATAGGCCGCGAAAGCATCACCAGGTTGATAGTACTCGAGGCCGTTCCCTCATGCTACCCTAGGCTTCATCAAGGGCGTTTAACGATGCTCGTTCCATCCATCTCCGCCAAGGGAGTGCTACCCATTTCGACCAGCTGGCGGCTATTGCTCAATTCCGCGCCCACCTTCTCCCCAGGAAGCTCCACAGTCTGACCCCCGGCGACAGGATAACCATATGGAGACACCGAGGACACCTGCGTCTGTGTTTCCGACATGGCTGGTTTCGGTGGATCTACGGCCTCGGGTAAAGGTTGCTCTGGACCAGGAGCTGGAGTGGTATCGGTCGGAGCCGGAGCAGCAGCGTTGCGCTTTCGACGACCCCAAAAGAAGAACAATGCAGCGAGTATTGCGACGCCGGCAACGGCGCCAATCACGATGCCTGCAATTGCACCACCCGATAGCGAGGAACTCGGGGGTTCATCACCTCCGGGTTGAGTTGTTTCAGTCGCAACCGCACTCGTGCTCGCAGAAGATGTGGTAGTCGTTGTGGATGAAGTGCTCGATGTGGATGTCGCCATACCGTTCGCACTAATGTCAGCAGGCGGCATGACGTAGACGTTAAATGCAGAAATATTCCGCGATGCAATTTGTTGCCACCTTCGCCCCTCGCACGTCTTTCCGATCTGTGTCTGGCATGTTGGCTCTTCCCAGAATTTCAGACACCATTCGCCTTCCGGGTTGAATGCGAACTCCTGGCCTTTTTCATGATAAATCCTGGTACAGTTTCGTATCGAGTCACCGTCGACTATTTGGGCGCCGGTATCATTTCGCCAGGTTAACGTCCATGCGTTCGCGCCGGAGAGAAGGGTAAGTGTGAAGTATGCTAGGCAGAATATCGACAGACGAGCCATGCTTGTGGCCAAGAAGTCGGCTCCCTGGGTCCTGGTGAGTAAATTTCTGACGGCAGATTAGTGGGGTTGGTCCGGGGATATGTATTAGACAGTTGCACTGTCATGATGTCCTGCGCAGGGACCAGGCCGCCGAGATGCGTGAAGAATGTTTGCACGGCACATGGTGTGGACAATCTTTACTCAAACTGGAGTCCGCAGAAACCTGACAGCCTCTCAAATGCGGGCATACTAGCACTCAGATACCAGGCGATTATTATCACAAGGCTAGAAATTGTTGCGAGGTTAACCGTGGTAACATTCGGAGACGGGAAGAGCCTCCATCAGGGAACGATCTCCGATTATTGGCCTGCGACTGGAGCCCGGGGCCACCTCTCGTGCGTTTTTGTCGGTGTTTTGTCCCTTTTGCTATCATACAAGAACCTTGGCCCTGCGATTGGCATTGGCAGAGGGGCTGATTGGTCGCTGATCTGCCGAATACGAGGGAATCGATGCAAGGTGGATATTAGTCCGTCAATTAGGTCAAGGTTATGGGAAATTGGGTGGATTAAGTCAGGAGGTTCCGTCAAGGTTGGCACTAGGATGGGGAAATAACTGAGTCTATCAGAGGGGAGAGTGGAAACAAAACTTCCAGCGCCAAGCGGCCCACGCTCTCGAAAAGTTTGAACGCCGCAGTTGAAGTTGAAGTTGGAATTGAAGTTGAAATGCTAGCATGTTGCCGAATTGGGATCTGCACATATGACTAACCGCTTCCATGCTTCACGTGCATCAATACCCAAACAGGAAGGCACAAGCATGAAGCCCTGAGCCCTGAGAAGCCTATGCATTTCTATCATCGAACAAACGAACTGGTCGATCAGACCTTCCCAAGGCTGTGTCTCGAGTCTCTTAGCAAACTGGCATTGTTGGGCGATGAGCTAACGTAGCATTTTGTACGTCAATGACGTCACTATGTCATGCATTGACAGCCACAATTGGGTTTGAAGGGGACATTAGGAACCGCCCTGTTATATAGTATAAGGCTTGAAACTTTCGACTATCAACCATCCACTCATGCAGTAAGCCCCTCTCCAGACCTCATTTCTTTATGACACGATCCATGGGTATTGTTCCAGTGGTGACGCCAGCGGGAGCGACGGGACCGAAGTTTACCATGTTATTGCTCTCGAAGAGTCAACGCTATACTCACTATTGAATGACGTGTGAGAGACTGATGTCAGTAACTTGGTGTTGAAGGGTTGCACTTTTTCGCCTCGTGTGGAGCTCCAAAGTCCAGGCAGGTGGTCAATATATACCACCAAGTGGGGTGAGCGGATAGCGCGAGAGGGCCGAGGCAGATCAACTCGAAGGCTATTTGATTTGTGGGGAAGTGGCAGGATATACTTTGATAGTAGTCAAGCAGTCAGTGTTTCTCGGAAATAACCTTCCATGAACATATCACAAGCTTCGAGCAGGCAGGGTGTAATTCGCCAATGGCCTTGCAGGATGAACACCACAAACTGTAAAATAAAGTATAACCCTGGAAAACCCATCAACAGTTTCAGTCGATGAGGTTGCATGAACTCGTCTCTTCCACGTCATTCTCATCGCAGCTTCCGCGGCTCCCGACATGTGCAATAGGCCTCACCCTATATGCCCCAATTCACGTCTCTCGTATCTCTAACCTCTCGCTAGTGTGCTTGACACTTAGTTGGTTTCCTGGGACCCTTTTTCGACGGGATACAGACCATTCATCTGTCGTGCTTTGAGGGGCACTTCTTCCCCGCCAACTTCGTAAGCACCACGAATTCTATCCCCAGAACGGTGGAGAGAACTAACAAGGAGTTAGACGATGCCCGCAATACAAACCCTAACCCCCCATATCCGGCATGAGATTGTTAAACGCAGCAACTGGGCTTCGGAAAATCCGGGTGTCATCCTAGTCTTCTGTATCGTCTTCATCGTGGGCATGGGCATCGTTTCTCTATTCGCATACCGACTTTGGATGAAACGGAAAGCAAAGAAGCAGTCCTTTGAGGTGCAGGAACGGAAGTAACCGACCGCATAGTGAAACTAAATATAGGCATGAGGCCCAACTGACGGGAATGTTGATTCATGGCCATTTGGTCCTAGCCAATCTGGCATTGGCAATGCCCACCTGTTTATCTACGGAGATGACCCGGCTAAAGACTCATGGTGGATGATAAATATTGGGTGGATGAGGCTTACAGTACATGGCATTTCCTCTGTTTTCTATGAGTATATCTGATACGATTATAATTATAATTTGGAAGCTTCTCTTCGGCATATCTACGACACAAATGGAATGGAACTATTTGTGCTTCAAAACTTGGAATTGCCCCGATACGAGCCATCATGAGACCATTTCCTTGGCATGCTTAATATAGCCACTGCTGCGTTTCATTCGTGGGTGCAATACGAGATTGTGGCACCGATTGATATCAACGTCTCATAGCTCGACAATACTTAATTCTCTTTTTTCCTCACCACCTTTCCACCTCGTCACTGAGTTCCCCTACAGTAGGCAAGATGCCCAGTCTTCTTTATTTATCCTCCGTTCTATTAGCCACGTCCTCTGCGACAGTGACTTATCTCTATATCTTCCACCGTTCTCTCGGGCATCGAATTCATCACGAGTTTCACCACAGCAAACTCCCTGAATCCGTTTCTACAGTCGTATCGCTTCCCCCAGAGGTCTCTCATGGAGAATGTCGCGCATTCTATGACCATGCTTCCCGTCGCATTGCGCGCAAATTACTTCCGGCGCAAAAGCTAGAAGACCTATTCACACTGCTGCTACGTCGCAACATGACAGCCTTCTCTCGTTTTCCACAAGCCTGGATACTGCGGTTGAATGTCGCACCTGCAGATCGTATAACCTTCCATGCATCTCATATCCGATCACTCCAGTTCAAAGAAGGCGATCTTGTCTGTGGGTTTTACCGTGTCCAAGAACGGACCCCGAACAAAGCCGTGCTTGAGTTGCTATTCGAAGGGGAGGTTAGCGGACGATTGGTCATTCGGTTCTGGGAAGAAAGCGACGACGTAGTATTCTGCACGGAGACAATCATGTGGACAAGGAAGGTAAACCCCGGACAAATAAAGAGGGTCATCGTGCCCCTGGAGAATCCCGTGCTGAGGTTTCTCCATGAAATTGCTGCATGGTGGTTGATTGATTCTGGAGTCACATATCTGCAGGATCTTAAGGAGACCACAAGTTGATTGAGGAACGATCCTGTTGAGTCAAGAGGTTTCTGAGGTTGCTGTTTCTTTGAGAGTATCAAAGCTTCTTAACAAAAAGGCTAAGGACAATTAATTGTTATGGGGAAGATTTTCTTTATATCTTTGTCCCCATGCCTCTCTGCTTTCGCAATGAGCGCTATTGTTGACCAAAGGTATATAACACCTACCACAAGCGATTATATTGATTTCTCCCATGCATACCTCAGCTACCGTCCCTCTCTACTTGCTTGTATAGCGTCTACGTTATCACACGGGCTGCCATGTGCTTGTGTACATTCCACCACTACCCCTGCGGACACATTGCATCATTCACCTTTGAGAGTTGTATCGATACAACCACCTTTCTGCGCACAGATATCAACCCACTTACCCATCGGAACGTCAAAAAGCTCGACCTGATAAATGCAAGGCGTCCTCATCGTTGTTTCAAGTGTGAGCGGAACCTGAGAGACGCATCATCCGCCAGCAGCAACCAGTCGGCGAGAGCAGCAGATCCGAAATATATACCGCTCGAAGGGGATACTGTAGACTTCCCTATCGTAAGCAACGAGATGGTTATAGCATCTATGAAGCAGGCTCACCATTTCTCGGATTGGGATGCTGATATTTCCGGTTCTGATGCGCGGCCTGCGCCCTTCACGTCACGCATTGGTAAGCTGTGTCGTTTAGGGAGACGAAGAAAGTATAGGCGCGACAATTATATACATCGTTACTCGACAGCCGCACCCCATCGCGTGCCTGGTCTGAGTCGCAGGATCAGGACTATTTCCAAGGACATCGCAGCCACCATTGAAGAGGATCCCGGATACGAGGCCGAAGATGACGAGTGCGGTGGAAACATCCTCAAGAGCAGGAAGTATTCTCCGCGGCCTCCGAGGTGCATTTATGAACTCCTCGGGTCGGTTCCCGAACCTGATGAATCTGAATACGATACCGCGCCTGAGTCTTCTACGCCTCTGAGCGAGGGAGATTCGTCGAATCTCTCGCATGAAAAGTTGCTTACTGCTATGGAGGCGGGGACCATGACCCCCGGACATGAACCTTTCCGTCGCATAACTCTTCCAGCACCTACACCTCAGCGTCCTGGGACCGTGCCAAATTTCTTGTGTCTTGGTAGTCAAGGTAGTTGTCGTTCTGCCCTAGCGAGCTTGCGCTTGACGGAAGCCACGCGCGAGGATACTGCGTCGCAGCCGTGCTTGTAAGCCCCAGGATCTGTGAATCGGGAACGCTGCAGGTAGTTGTAGGGCTGCAATCTTCACATGAGAGAAATATGGTATGCAATGACCTGAGGAGGCTATGAACATTTGAGGCGCTTTGGTGGTCGAGCTCCCCCCCCTCAACCAGCCTGACTATAGACCATCTGCCAGGGCTTAACGAGACATCCGGTTTGTTAATCTTAATTTCTGCGGATTGGAACATGCAGCGGGGACCGACACATTTCGTCTAGTCTAATAATATAACTAAAGAATAACCAAAGTCTCTGAATGGCAAGTTCGTCTGCACATTGGTAGTGTTGGGTGATAACACTTTTTTTAAGTGCTTATAATGATTGCTAATTACCATGAGTCAAGTCTGTCTATGATATCCATGAAGATTGCCTAAATTGAGAATGATATTCTTCTTGTCTTCGGGTGGGTAGTATTCGGGCAAATGAGTGACAATATATTTCATGGTATCCGACATAAAATGTTAGATGTGAGCTTGTCCCCAAGCGCACTACTTTCGTAATACGTTCCCTATGGATATTGTTCCAAGAGAAGGAAATACTGTCCCCTTACCCATAAATTACAGTTAGAGGGAGTATCTATAAATTAATAGCTAGCGGTTGAAGTGCCCAGAAGGTAGGCTAGGGAAGACGGACATTCTCAAAAGTCCCAAGTAAAATATGACAATAAACTAGCACAAAATGGAGTTTCATTCCGATATCAAATTGGAAAGAGTTTGTCGTCTATTTCAGTGCATTTTTATTTTTATCCTTTTATATATGAATTCGGCTCTTGTACCTTGGCTCGGATGTATAGTGTAATATAGGTGTCATCCAAATAAACCTGGTAGCAGAGTAGTAAATTGCAACTTTCAATGGGCTCACTCTTTCTTCTCCACCCATATGGTAAACGCCCAAACTATTCAGTTCCCACTACGAACGTACCAGTAACTCCCGCATTAAAATGTAGCTCTGCGATGGGACTGTTCTAAGTGGCTATAGCGATGGCCTTGGTCACCCTGTTGCCGAGTTATGTCGTGGCGGGCGACACCAAGAAAGGACGTTCAGCAACTTACTGGACTCATTATCAAGCAAAGCTGCACTGTAAAGGCAGACACACACTCGGGGTTGAGTGTCTAGCCATGGTGGAGTATACCAATGCTATACGTTAAGCGAAAATTGGGTAAGCGGAAGCACTTGCACTCCGACTGTGGCACGAAACAAAGGGCAGTATCGGATGTTTAAAGACAAGCAGCAGATCCATCCTAGATGGTCTGACCTGGGGGAGGAGTAATGTGTCATATGCTTGCTGTTGGTGGATGTGAATTTCTCGGTTTCAAACACTATACGGGAGTGAACAGGACTGAGGAAGCCATTCAATGGGCATAGGCCAGGTATGAATTTCCGTGTCCTAACCGCGTTGGTACCAATGGCCAGTAGGTATTCACTGGACATAGCCATTCCCACAAGATTCTTCGATAGCCCTGTCATTAACCTGCGGTTACAAACCCTCATATTTCAACATGGTTCTATATATCTTCGATGTGCAGGAGGGGCGGAGAAGCACTACGACGTTGTGGTCCCTTACCGCAGGGCGCTTAATCATATTGTCTCGAATGGCGCGCTTTCCAAAAGCACGACCCTCTGTCCACCTATGGAGATCTTGCTATATTTAACTTGAAGCAAGGAGGTACCGAGAAGAGACGGCTATTCATACTATCGGAACGCGACCGTAGCCATAGAATTTGGGCCAAATAATGGATATCCTTGGGCCGTAACATTTCCCACCATCCATCGCCGCAGGACACGTGGGGAGTCAGCACCCAACGCAGCCTCATTGCAGGCCACGCTGCATGAGTTACATCCTGACGGATAGACGGCTGCATCAGGTAGTCATGCATGAACAGTATGCTTATCAACACGTGTTCGCCGGTCGTCGCTTTCCACTTGGCCTGGTATATGTGCATCGGAGGGTACGGTGCGATTGTATATCATTCCTAGGAATCGTTTGCTCATTGTTGAGGAAAACCCAACATATTATACACATCGCTGATTATTTACCTTGGACATAACGGCTCTATGGCGGTCACTGAAGTAATCGCGAGCCATGAGGAGAAGCGTCTCCGTGAATTCTATCAGATAGTTTTTTATTAAGTTCCCTAGAGCCCAGGAGAGGAGATCGCATCAGGAGAGGAAGTTCAGCTGAACAGGAAAGAATCACTGTTGCGGAGCATAGGCGGAATGTGGCCGACGCGTTGGCATACATATCGGCGTATGACAAAAAACCGGGCCGTGTGACTGCTGTTGCGCTTGGAATGGAAAAGGGTGGATTGGTTGTGTGGATAGCAGCTAATCAGACGGTGGATCCCGAAGTCGAGAATTTCCTAACCATCGTGCTCGGTCGGCTTGATAAAATCGCCCGTGGTGACGAGTCGGAGTGTGATCGTTTTGTTGATTACGTCCTTGAGTTCAACTGGAAGAAAGTTCAGATATATCACAGTAAATTCCGTGGTTCATGGGCTAGATACTGCGAATCTCATCCGCCCACAGGTTTGTCAAATCCTTGGTCCTAGCGTACAAGAGATAGATGGGGCTGATGAATAGGGGATAGGCCACAACATTCTTCAAAAGTTGGAAAGCTGGGTTCAAGGGACATTCCCCAAGGACGGTGAGAAGCAGCAGGAGAATATGGTGAACCTAGCGAGGAAGTGCCACGAGGAACGCAAACGACACGGTGGAGTGTTTGATATGCTGAAGGAAGCTTCAACGCAGGGTATTATGTCTCCAGAGATGCATGATCAGTTACGCAACCTGCTTCACAAGGTTGGGAAACATATCACTTTGTGCCGAAAATTGATTCACGCTAGAAAGTCGCTGTCCGAGGACTTCAAGTATGGTGCTGTGGTGAAGCCAATTAAAGTCTCTCCGCGGCGACCTGATACAACTGAACGGGACTATTCCTTTGATAACATCACAAATCGGATATTCCGAAATGAAAGTGAGAAGCAGACATTTTACCACCACGTTAATCAATTTTATGATCGTGACATGGCCTCGGAGAAATTGCAGACTTACGCCAATAGTCCCCGATTCCGAGTGCATGCAGAGATTCAGCTGATCAGCTACTTTGATACAAATGGCACCCCGCTACTCGAGGAAGGAAATCCCTATATTGGCTGTAGTAAGCCTGCTTGTTACCTATGTTACAAGTATATTACCGATCATCCCCGACAGTGGTTTCAGCCACCTTCCCATCAAAAGCTTTATTACGCTTGGAGTCTTCCAAAACCGCATGGGAAGGAGAATCGTGCAGAGTTCTTGGCTACTACAACAGAAGTCCTTCAACGAAAACTACGAGAAGATATTGCGAAGAAGCGGGGGCAGAGATCGGTATGTGACGATTCGACGGCAGGGGTCACCTCGGTTCTACGTACTGGTGGAATGAAGAGAGAGGAATATGCCAACCCACGGTTGACCTCTGAGAAAGCGGTGGTAGCAGGGAACGGTAAGGCGGGACCCCTGGCTCTTCACGAATGGCTCCTATCTAATTGATGCAAGCTGGAATTGTGTCTAGGAGAGCGCTAAGGGTTGTAGTAGGAGGAGCAGAAGGAATTGGGAAGCCGGACCATGATGATGATGATGATGATGAGGGTGGCGGTGGTGTAAGACTTCTTTAAACGGGCTCTCATGGAAATTGTATCCTCCGAAAACGTTCTATCTATTTCCAGGAGATAATATGTCGTTTCAATTCTATGCTAAACTTATTTCAACCTCCCCTCTCCATGTGTCATGCTGGACCCTCAAATATTCACAGCAGAACAAAAAAGCAAAACCAGTTTCAGGTAATGAAAGATGCTGCCTTCCGTCCCTTGAAAACAATAATCTCCTTATCATCATCTTCATTTTCCATTCCATCACATCGCCCAGAGCCAGGATGTTTATCACCTTCTGTGCCTGATGAAAATCTGTAAGAATGGGAATATTCAATGGCTTCGCCATAGGATGCTTCCTCCCATGTCATGGTTGTCTCAGTTGAGAGGCTAAATGACTCTGATGTATCATCGTCCGACGAATCATTACTCTCGGAGCAACGATCCAATACAAACCTCTCCACATCTCTGCGAAGACGTTCCGTGATTTTGCGCAGTATCTCGCTCTGTTCGATAAGATGTGTGCTGGGTTCGATGGCTTGGATGTCAGGCAAGCGCCAGTGGAGGTCAATGTCGTTCGGATCGCATTTTCGGATGTGGTAGTTGAGGCGATGCGATAGATATTGGCTGCACAGGTAGCAACATGGCTTACTAGTTGCAATATATCTATCATAATTGTCAAAATATCGCAGCCGACTGTTCTTATCAAAAAAGTCCACAAGGCGAAGCTCCGGATGAATTTGGGTATAAACGTTTCCTTGATAGTATTGAAGCTGTTCAAGGAGCCTGCTGGGAGCCGGCACGACTCGCTCCAACCCTCGACAGAGCCGCTTGAAGCGTTGCTGTACAGAAAACATCCGATGGGCAATATCCTTAGGATCCAGCTTCTTTCTGACTAGAGGGATCTTCATACGCTCCACAGGAGGTACGTGGCAGACCCGAATTCCGCTATGAAGATCCTGACTTATAGAAATTGCCGATTTCAGAAGCAGATGACACATTTCTATAGGCATAGCTAAGTTTAGCAGCTGGCGATGGAACTCCTCAAACATATCCACAGACTGCTCGCTTTGGCAAA